TTTCTCTTTTCAGGACTCAAAACAGCTTACATCATTAAAAGACTATATTTAAAGCTAAAAACCACTAACTATATAAATACTAAAGGGATCAAACAAACACCACACTAAAAATCAGCAAACAAAAGGAACACCTAAACCACATTCAAAGCAGTAAGGCACAACATTTAATTACCCCACTCAGGCAGGCAGTCACTAAGGGACAGCTTGCCTGGAAAGAAAGGTCTTTGGCTGTTTGCAGAAGGCCAGTGAAAATGGGGCCAGCCTGGCCTCCTGTGGAAGATAGTTCCAAAATCTGGGAGAAAGAGACAGAGAAGACCCTCTCATTTGTGCCCACCACATGTGAAGGAGGAGGGACCAAGAGAAAGACTTATCCTGATGATCTGAACAGGCTCATGAAGGGAGAGGTGGTCTTTGAGATAGCTTGGACCAAAGCCCTTTACGGCTCTGTAGGTTAAAACCAGCACTTTGAATTCTGCCTGGGAACACATCAACAGCTAGTGGACTTGCTATAATAAGAAAGTTATGTCATCCCTGTAGCCAGACCCTACTGGCTGCCACATTTTGGACCCACTGAAGTCTTCAGACATTATTCAGAGGTAGCCCCAAATAGAGCATGTTACAGTAATCCTGCCAGGATGTAACTAAGATACGTGTCACTGTGGCCGGATCAGACCTCTCCAGAAAGGGCCACAGCTGGTGCCCTAGTTTTAATTCGGGAAATGCACTCTTAGCCACTGCTGAAACCTGGATATCCAGGCGCAGAGATGAATCCAGGAGCACCTCCAAGCTGCACACCTGTGTTTTTCAAGGGAGCGCAACCCCATCCAGCACAGGCTGCATCCCTATTCCTTGATCTGCCTTGCAACTGATGAGGAGCACCTCAGTCTCTCTCTTGTCTGGATTCAGTTTCAATGTTTTCACTCTTCTCCAGTCTATCAGTGACACCAGACACTGACCTAAACAGTGTCCTCGGTTCCCCCACCCAGAGTAAGAGGGGAATAACAGGGCAACCTGTGTTTCTCCAGCATCTTGCCTACTGCAGTCAGTGTCAGGAAAGGACAGAGAAGGGATGGGCATGAAATGCAGGCAAAGCTCATAGTCTGAGTTGAAGGCCAGGTGGATCCACCTTCTAGTTTTATGGAAAGCCTTAGGAAACCCTGAGGCTCTTTTGCTCTCTGCCACATGCTATTTTTATACCTCCCACCACTAGCCAAGGGTGAGTATTTCTCTTGGAAACAAAATAATACACCAACTCCTTTTCTTGCTTTCTCAGTGTTATAGAGCAGCCATTCTCAGCTCCCCACAGTTGTACCTATTAATGACCAAACCGCAAGTGAGACACTGCTGACATCTTCTATTCACATTTTTGCTCCTGCTCCGATACTGTAGCAAGCAAAATGCAGGATTTCAGACTTCCTCACATAGGGCCACTTGAGAGGTCAGTCAGAATGAAGGACATGTCACAATGCCCAAAGCAAAATGGCAGCCAGGCCCCTGTTGCTACTGAGGGGGTGCTGCTTGGCAGGGATGTACAGCCTTTGATGGCTTTGAAGTGCTTCTGTTTCAGACTTGAATGAGGGATAGCTTTCAAAAGGAAAATGTCGCCTCTAATTGCCACCTAAGGGGCTAAGATTTCCTCTGTTGAGATATAAAATGTCAGAGAATGGAAGTGTTTAACCTGAGTTGCATGCTTTGTGGTTCCTTACACCTAAGGGCCAGACAAGTGCCCACAGTAGTATTGGGTACAGAATGCCTCCTCCCAAGGATCTCAGCATTCGTTTAAAAAGAAAACTAAGTTTCTAGTTCACATAGATAAAAAGGTAGCGATGGACCTACATTTTTTTGGGACCCTGATGCTCAAGCTGTTATGGAGGCACCTTCACAACCAGCAACAAGGCCTGAGTAACCAGTGCTGTCTCCTTCAGTGGGGTTGCTCCATGACAGATCACCACAGATTTTTTTTTTTAAAAAATGTGGACTGAACTCACTTCTGGGAGCCGTCCAGTATTGGGGTCCCCAGAGCTTAAGCGTCATTAATTTCCTAGGAGATCTAGCCCCGTCAAAAGGCTTTGGGATGGGTGAGCCATGATTGGTTTCCAACCTTTCAGGGCAAGCGCAATTTTAATAGGTCTTGGAACCTGTACATGGGAGGGAGGGAGAGAAGTGCTGTCTGCCATTTGCACTGAGCGTTAAGTGAACTTTCCTTGTGCCCATCATATTGGTTCTGCATCCTGGTGTCCCACACAACATAAGGGTCAACAGAATCAAAGCAGGCCAGATCTTGCTTTCTGGACATTTTTGTTCTCCTTTGCTTGGATTGTCTTCATATGGGATCTGTTCACGTGGGGCCCTAGTGCTGGATTGTTCCATGTGGGTTCCATGCACTTGGGAGGTGGGTGTCATGGGAAGATGTTTCCATATGACATGAGTGTCATTCTCCTGACACATCTCCACCCCTTCTATACTTTTTAGATGAGTAAAATGAGGGAGGAGTGACATTGGTGGGAAAGGGCAGAGAATATAAGCAAAAGAAGGGTCATTTTAAAGACAAAATTGATTGGATTCACTGTGACTTGGACACGGTAGTTTCTGCAGGTACTGTGGATGTAACTTTGGCTTCTGCCTGTCCTGTCAAGGTGGAAACTTTTCCATCTGTGGCTCCTGAGGATGTAGGAAAAAGGGAGGGCAATCTGTGTTGGGAGTGAGAGGCAGCAATTCCGATCATGTTTGGACAAATAGTGATGGGAAAACTCAGCACATTCCGGTATAGCCAGTGACAAATATACCCCTCATCTGTGGGTTCTAATCAAATCTGTAACCAAAAGTGCCAGAATGACTCACAACCACCCCACGAACAACTGGAGAAATGAACACTAGACGGATAAGTCCCTCGTCTCGCTTGAGGCTCAGGTAGGGACTACTACAACTACTACGTGGTGTCTGCAAGAGACTTCCAGTTGGATGTGGAATTCAAATATGCAAAAACATTGTCATGGGGTAGCCTAAGACGTCATGGTGGAAGACACAACCTGCACCTGTTCTCTCAAAGTGAGAGGCCCCTTCTTGCGTATATGCTGCACTGGCATCCTGCCAGTTGTATGTTTGATAGTTAACACAATAACGGTGTTGACTTTTGTAATATCAAAATGGAATTTGGTCCTGAAATCCAAGGTACAATTAATTCAGTGTTTCAATTTTTAAAGTGAAAGCAAGATTGCAGCTGGGACTTGAATTTGAAAAACAATTGTGTTAGCCTGAACGTGCCTTCCAATCGTAGAATCAGAGAAAAGTAAAAGGGCCTACCAGGCCATCAAGACCAATCCCCTGCTCAATGGAGGAATACAATCAAAGCGTATCGGTCAGGTGTCATTTCTGACATCACTCTCAGTCTTCAAGGAAGGCACTGCATTGAATTGTTTTACATCATCATAAGCTGGAATCCTTTTGATGGCAGAAATTCCAGAATGTACAATACAGATGCTTATGCTTCACCAACAATTTGCTTTCTTGCAAATTCAGATATTGTTGGACACTGAAAAGGATTATTTTATCAAGGAGCAAATTCAGCACACACGTGCTAAGTGTACAGAGTTGAACGCTGAAGCTGTTGATCACTGAAATAAATCGTCCTGGGTGCCGTATTGTCTTGAATAAGGAAGTCAGTCCTGATGAGCAGATTGCTAACCGGGCAGCTTCAGATTTGCTTCAGTGGGTGTGGTACGGTGGAAAGAGTGATGGACTAGAATTCCGAAGACCAGTGTTCGAATCTCCACTCAGCCATAGAAGCTCACTGGGGGAGTGGAATTGATAAAAACACTCTTTAAATATCTCATCTTGAAAGCACTAATAGGGGCACTATAGTCTGGTTTAATGTTGATGAAAATGAACAGGGAACAGTAAAGAAGGATGAAAGGAGCCATTTTAGGGGGCAAAAACATGTATTTTGATGGGGGATGGCAGATCTGGAGTGTTGCAAGCAGGAGCAGAATAAGAAAAAGCAGCATGGAAGTCAAGGAAGACATCCTCCACACCACATCATACTTTCTTGCAGGACTCTGCTTGTTGAGTGGTCTAGTGATGAAGATGACGACTCTGGACACTTGTTGCAATACTGGGATTTCTTCCTCGGTTGTGTAACCTGTACCGTCTGCTTCATTTTGAGTAAATAATACATACCAGAGGCCTTGGGGAAGGATTCAGAACATAAAACATTAGCCCATCGGGCCTACGCTTTGTTTGACAGTTGCAGCCCAGCAACGTCTGGAAACCATGTTTTAAACATGGAAATACAAGGTCTTCAGCAGGCATTACAGGAAAATTTCATCATATGGTTGGCATCTTGAAATAATCCATTTCTCTAAACTCTTGTCTGCCTAGGATGGCAAAAATTGGGGAATCAACTATTAGCCGCAGGCATGGTTAGAAGCAGCAATTTCTTAAGTTGCTAAAAATCATAGTTCCACAAATTCTTCACCTGTAGCTTAAAAAGTAACTTCCTTTGTTTTGGGGTCCATTACTAGGAATTAAATGTTTGTTTGTCAAAACTAACTTTAAGAAGAAAGACAATTTCAACTCTATTCCCTGGCATCTCTGAAAATGACCCTTTGATCCCTCTTTGCTTTGCAATCTCTGAAACTGCCATATGAGTATTTTACAGTAAACAGGCCGGATCAGAGCTTTGAAGTAACTAGTTGTAACTTTCCCCCAATAAGGGAGATATAGGTATGATCTGAAGAGAAATCTGAATAGAAATAACTCAAATATAGGTACATTACATTACAAATTTAGGTACATTATTGAGTTAACTCAATATGGAATACTTTCATTATTTTGCCCTGAAAATGTAACTTTTATTTATTTTTATAGCTGTGACCTCACGAAAAGGGGGAAGAAGGCTACCACATGGTTCAAGTGCTGTCTTATGAACTGCTGGATACTTTAATGGTTTAGGAATCTGGCTCCAGAACCAAAAGTTGGGAATTCGAATCCCGTGTGCCTCCTTGACAGGGTCTAGACTCGTTATCTGTAGGGTCCTTGCCTCGATGATGGTATGTCTCTTGCTACTGCCTTATGTTTTGTTGTGGGTGTTGAGATAAATAAATGAGCAGGCAGAATATGTCTTTTGTACTAAAGGCTAACAAGCTGAACCATTCAGTTTCTTTAACTCATCTATTTTAGTTACTTCTGAGAAACAAGAATGTTGAAAGTTGGATTTAATAGTCACTGTAACACTAACTGATTTTCTTGGCCATAAAATTAAAATGGCAAATCACTTTTTAAAAGCAATTTTCCAGACTGTTTGATCAAAGCATCTACTTATTTTCTTTGTTTCTTTGTTTTAGCAATGCTCAGTATTTTGTAGTACTGGTCTTCACAGAGAAAATACTGGGCTATCAAGTACCGTTGATACAGGAGACAGATCCTTCTCAATCAATCTGCACAGTTCTTTCCATGTAGTTCCTGGACTCTCAGAAGTTTTTTCTTCTGTGAACCAAGTGTGGAGGCTTGGCGCTTGAGTGGATGGTGGACATTTATAAGTGATGACATACTGTAACCTCGCCAGGAGCCAGCTGTGGTGTTGGAAGGGCCTATGTGAGACATGCCCCCATTGCATCTTTGAAGCTTGTCAAGTACCATTCCCCAGCATCTCCCCTGTTGGAACAACATAATGGTTTCAGCCACTGCTAAAGTTATTCTGTCTTATGGCATTGAACACCCAGTAATTTCTGCTGAAATAAAGTTAAAAAACAAAATCCCCCCTTGAGTTTCAGCACAATTGTCTCATCCCCATCTTTCTTCATGCAAACAAAAGAACATAAGAAGAGCCTTGCTGGATCAGGCCAAGGGCCCATCTAGTCCAGCTTCCTGTATCTCACAGCGGCCCCACCAGATGCCTCTTGGAGACAGCTACTGTAGATCCCTGTCTCCTGATACCCCTCCCCTGCATCTGGCATTTGGAGATACCTTCCTTTTAAGCCTGGAGATTATACATCCCCATCATGGCTTGTAACCTGAGATGGACTATTCCTCCAGAAATCTGTACAATCCCCTTTTAAAGGCATCTAGGCCAGATGCCATCACCACATCCTGTGGCAAGGAGTTCCACAAACTAACAGCACACTAGGTAATTTTTTTTCTTTTATCTGGTCTCACTCTCCCAACACTCACTTTGAGTGGATGTCCCCTATTTCAGTATCACTGAAAATATTTTTTTTTCAAATGAGTGTCAGTTAAATGATTCTTCCCTGTAAAACCATAGCTCTGGGATGGACAAACTGTGGATCATGAGCTTTGGAGTCCAAGTATGGCCCTCGCAGAACCCCAGCATTTTGGAAATTGTTTAGTACTGTACAGTGAAGGAGTAACTGAAAATGGTAAAATTGTTCCCTGGCCAGTGGAGGTTATGTGAATGACATTGCAGGTGGGTATACGGAATCTGATTCAGACCTCCAATGATACAAATGGATATGCAGGGTCCCTTGATTTGTGTCAGTTTATTGCCTTGGATGCTGATATAAATAGCCAATATTATGTCTTTCCTATTGCGAGAGTGATGAATGTGTAGAAATGTCTATTTCTGGCACACCTAGTTACATGAATTCTGACAAACTTTTCTTCATCACACAGTAGATATTTCATCTCTCCTACAGGAACACTTCAAACAAAATATTGGGTTTTATTTTCAATATTGTTGAAAGGCACAACACAAACAAGTAAAATGCATATACAGTATATGAAATTGTGCTCTGTCATTCAGACAGGTTCTTGAGAACAGGTGGTACTTGATGGTATGATATCTAGAGTCCAGAAATGTAACTTTTTTTGTACTGTTTCCAAATACTCTCCAGTCAGCTTGACTGGGTGGAATATTCTAGGAGCTAGCATCCAAGACTGTAGGGTTTCCAGGAACTTCGTAAACTTTTCAAAGGAAAGCTTGTGCAAATTTTCTGCTTTCTTGTCTCTGTGATTTAAGAATGGTCATTTTCTAATGGAATCCATAGCTTTAGAACCTACCTCAAAGAGGGGGGAGTGCATAGTGTTCAGCTGATTACACGAGAACGATCTTATTACCCTGAGGTCCTCTTCTCAAGAATGGGAACTTGTAGATCAGGAAGTTCAGTATTCCTAGGAGGCAAAAGGAGATGCAGAGAAAATAAAACAAAGCTCAACATGAGTCAGGGACAGCCATTTCTATACTACTTCTCCTCCTCAGGAGCAAGGATAAGGAACTGCGAAATTATCAGGAGAGCTAGGCATTTTTGTGGTACAATCAACAAAACGGAGAGGGGGAGGGGGAGAATGAGAATGATATTTGTTGTGAATTCAGCAAAATTACACCAATAACACTCTGGCGCAAGCCAGGGAAAGGCTCACTCTGTGTGCGTGTGTGTGTGCATGCGTGCATAAGCTTTAGTTGCACTTTATATGCTTATATGGAGACATGACCACAAAGTACACTCTGGAGGAGTGTTTTCCAGCCTTGGGTTCCCAGGTGTTCTTGTAGGTATGACTACATAAAGCTACAGCTTCCGCTGTATGAACATGGAAAACAGAAGCAATTAAGTGTGAGGAGAGTTGCCCCTCCTATTTACCTGTTGCAAAACTGAGGCCACAGGTGGCACAGCTGAGGAAAAAGGACCATCTCTCAGCAAGATTGTCAGTTGCTGGTTCCAACAATTCATCAATCGTGACTTGAAATATCACCAAAGTCACATTCCTGCCTGTCCCTGGATTGTTTAACCAATAAAAGGGCACAAGCTATGTATCATGTCGCTGCCACCAGTTGATTACCTCAACACTGTATTCGCGAACGCTTTCACGGCTGGGATCGAATGGTTGTTGTGGATTTTTCAGGCTCCTTGGCCATGTTCTAAAGGTTGTTCTTCCTAACGTTTTGCCAGTCTCTGTGGCTGGCATCTTCAGAGGAACAGGAGGAGGAACTCTGGGATCTGGTTAGTAGCCATGCTGCTTGGGCGATTGTGGGAACTGTGTTATAACAGCATTTTAAATGATCGCCTTATTAGCTGTCTGGATGGCTCAGTGCTTTAGGTCCAGGGCTTCTAGAGCCAGAGGTTGGCAGTATGATTCCCCACTGTGTCTCCTGGAGGAAGAGCCAGCCTGTGTAGCCATGGGCAAGCTAAATAGTCCTTTTCCTATAGTAGTCATTTCTTAAGTAGGATGTTGGTGCAACAGCTATTTAGGACTCCCAGAAATTGATATTGCAATACTGAGACATGCCTCTGCTAACAGGGGGAAAGGGAGCACTTCCCCCAGACTAAATTTATTTTATTCTTAACATACATGAATAAACACACTGTGATGAAGCATTGCTCTGGTATCTTGAATTATGTGAACAAATCACTATACAGGTTTCTCCTCTCAGCTGTGAAAAAAATTTCTCCCAGTAAGTTCTGATTGTTGACAGTCTTACCGGTGAGAAAGCTGAAAACAGCAGCAAGGGGGCCTTTTGGGAAAAAATCCTCAGTGCAGGTAATGAGAGGCTCCCATTCTGTTGAGCACAGTATAGCCAGGAAACAAGTAAAGAGGGCCACAATCATGAAGGCCCGGACGAAGTCCAAGTTTGCTGAAAGGAATACGAGGGGTTATATAAGCAAGTGAGGAAAATCCCATCGTGTGCTTCACGGGGTAAACTGTGGAACTCATATTTATTTATTTTTTATTATTTATTTTATTTATATCCCGCCTATCTGGTCTTACAACCACTTGAACAAGTGTGTGATTCTACACTTTTGCCAAGAAATCCAAATAAAAAAAACAAAAAATTTAACATGCTATTTTTAATGAATTCAAACTCTCTCTTGGTCAGAGAGAATCAATGAACCAATATATTCACTGATTTCTGCTGTGGACCTGGTCCAAATCAATACCTTTCCCCCTTCCTTAAATCTGTATTGTAAAAAAAAAGTCACTCAGAAAGAGATGCCAGGGGGAATTTTTTCAAAAGTAAATTCAGCAAGGGACGTGGTGGCACTGTGGGCTAAACTGCAGAAGCCTGTGCTGCAGGGTCAGAACTATCTTATCTGGTCTTACGACCACTTGAACAAGTGTGTGATTCTACACTTTTGCCAAGAAATCCAAATTAAAAACAAAAACAAAAACAATTTAACATGCTATTTTTAATAAATTCAAACTCTCTCCTGGTCAGAGAGAATCAATGAACCAATATATTCACTGATTTCTGCTGTGGACCTGGTCCAAATCAATACCTTTCCCCCTTCCTTAAATCTGTATTGTAAAAAAAAAGTCACTCAGAAAGAGATGCCAGGGGGAATTTTTTCAAAAGTAAATTCAGCAAGGGACGTGGTGGCACTGTGGGCTAAACTGCAGAAGCCTGTGCTGCAGGGTCAGAAGACCAAGCAGTCGCAAGATCGAATCCATGCGATGGAGTGAGCGCCTGTCTCTTGTCCCAGCTCCTGCCTAGTGGTTCGAAAGCATGCAAATGCAAGTAGATAAATAGGGACCACCTCGGTGGGAAGGTAACAGCGTTCCGAGTCTAAGTCGCACTGGCCATGTGACCATAGGAGATTGTCTTTCGACAAACGCTGGCTCTATGGCTTGGAAACAGGGATGAGCACCGCCCCCTAGAGTCGAACACGACTGGACAAAAATTGTCAAGGGGAACCTTTACCTTTACCTTTAAATTCAGCTGAGCTCAGTGGAATGTACTCCTGAGTAGGCAGGCACACTTAGCAATGTGGTCCTAATCCCCTAAATATGCCATAGAACCAAAATTTAAAAACCCAGATTGGCAGACAAGGCATATCCATTTCAATGAAGCTACCTCTTTTTCATTATCACCACCATCACCATCATCACATTTGTGCTAAATCGGATCAGAAAGGCCGGGGAAATTAAAATGTGGGGAAATCCACCTAAGGGGAACCAGAGAACCATTCAAACCCAATCCAACCCATTCAGACTTTACTTTCTCTGACTATGATGAAATTGCACTCCTCATCTGGGCAGACGGTCCATAAGCCAGTATAGATGGGATGCACAGGATCTTCTTCGTATATCGCCCATCCCTTCGTAAACTGAGCAACCGCAAGAAGTGTGAAAGTAACGACAGAAAGAACGCAGCTTGCTAGCCTGTATGTAAACATGGGGAGGGTTTGAGGTTCTTTGTGTCGCTGTTGAGCAGCTGTTTCCACCGGGACCTAAAGAGATGGAGGTGACTGCCTGGAAATGAGCAAAAGACTCCTAGGAGATGGTTCGGTTTCAGCTGCAGCCAAAGGAGGTGGATACTGTTCTGCTGGATGTCTCCTTTTTTACACCAACTGTAATGGAATCTTCACATATGGTGGGAGGGAGGAGGGAATGCCAAGGCCCGAAGGAGTAGCTCGGTTTCCATCCAGCCACTCTTTCTTTGTTAAAGCAATTTGTACGTCTCTCTCTCTCTCTCTCTCTCTCTCTCTCTCTCTCCCAGTCATGTTGTGTTTCCCCTTCCAGAAAGAAGCCGCGAGCTACTTGGCCCACTACTCTGCCCCACACCATTAAAATTCAGTGCCCAGACCAAAATTTTGAAAGGAACTCCCAGAATCCCCCACAATTTGTACGTCTCTCTCTCTCTCTCTCTCTCTCTCTCTCTCTCTCTCTCTCTCTTTCTTCCTTTTTTACATTGAGAATAGGCAAAAGTGGGGTGGTGAGACCCGATAGTTTTGTTCAACTGATACGTCCATGTTGTGTGTGTATATAATAATTGTTTTCAGTATTTCAGTCCCTCTGCACTTTTGCTTTACAAGTCAAGACCCCACTGTATTTCAGTCCCTCTGCACTTTTGCTTCCAATACTGGGCAGGCATATTCAGCTCTTCCATACCTTGTGTGAATGCACATGAACTCATCAGATTTTGGAAACTAAGTACAGTTGGAAACAGCATCTGGATGGGGATCACCAAGCATACAAATGATCTTCAAGAAGGGTTAAGACAGAATCCTACCTAAAACCTGGAGGACTTGTGTTGATCAGAGTTGATCATCCTGGTGTGGGATTTCATCTCTTCCAGCCAGAAGCCAATGACTCCTCTCCCAGACTGCGGCTGAGGCCTCCTCCAATGCCAATCCCCTGGGCATGCAGAAACACACAATGTACACACCACCAAGCCATCATTCTCTGTACCCCTCAGGCTGTACGACAGAAGGGACAAAACTGAGCTGTCATAGAAATTTGTGGTGATGATGGTGGAGGTGAAATTATGTCCACCCTACTGTAGGATTAAGATGAAATAAAGAGGAGGAGGCAGTGATGATGACAATATCACAAAGAAGCTACTGTTGCTTCTCAAGACAAGCAGAGAAATCTTCATATACAGACCTCTGAGGCACAGATTCCTCACCCTCACTTTGACACACAAATGTGCGGTTTCCCAAAACAGCCATGCAAATCCTCCCATCTTTCCTTCTCTTTCTGTCTATACCATTTGTGGATTATTGTGGAACCTTCTCTACTGTTTGTAAATTCACACACATACTCATCCATTTCATTTCCAGGGAGATGGCTGTATATGTCCGTTGGTGTTTAAAACAAATAACACAAGGATCTTCTGCTACCTGGAATAGCAACCAAGTACTAGGAGGCCAGTATCATGGGAGCATGGAAATGTCTTTGTTGCTCACAGTCAAGCTGAGTAGATATTTTGCTGAGGCAGCTACAGAATCCATAAGGAATCTTTAGAGAATTTGGTGGAGGTGTTCAGAAGAGGCTACTAGGAGTCAGGCCTTGTTAGTGTTTAAATGGGAGCAATCAGGCATATTAATGATATTTCAAACAAATTATGCAAGTTCATCTAGCTCTTTCTCCATATCATTTATTCAAGGATGTTTATATACTGTTTCTTTTCAAACAGATATAGACCCATAAACATGCACACACAGGCAGATGTACATTTCCAGAATGATAGCTGTATTAGTCCATTGTGCTAAAAAAAATCTTGGAGTACCTTAAGGAGTAACATAATACTGGGAGGCCATCATCACCACCAGGTGAGAAATGTCCAGTCCATCATGGTCAAGCTCTATTGGGTACTTGCTGAGGTGGGAAGGCTGCAGAATCCGTAGGGAGTCCCTAGTGTTCTTGAGGATCATCAAAAGAACCTTTCATCTAATGTCTCTACCTTTGTCAGTATGTCTCCTAGCCACTCTCACCTCTAAAGACAAGCCAGGAATTGTGTTGCTATCTGGCCATTATAAGGAGAGTACCAGAGCATGGAGACATTTGGATAGCAGCTTTCCCAGGACACCCATCAGTATGGTCTGGGTGCTTCTGAGAGATATAGTGGTGTTTGCCCTCATGGCCCCTGCTTGTTTTTTCCTCACAAAGGCTCACATCACATTTTCTTCTCGCTGCCACCAGTGGATTACTTCAATCCACAATATAAATGACATTTGTCAGAACACTTGACTTGTGAACAGAAACAGAACTTATTTATTGAAATGAAGCAGATTGAATAATACTGTAACAGGTTTCTCAGATAAACATTATATATATTATGCATATACATAACATTATACATAATACAAACATTATACATCAACAGTTCTCTCAGTATATACTTCTTTTCTCTTGCTAGATCATTACCACCTTTTCTAGCTATTTTCCTAACCAGCTCAATCTCTCTCAGTATCTGTTCCCTCTCTCTCTGACTAACCAATCGCTATCTGACTCCTCCTTCTCCCGCCAAGCC